TATTTTTTTTCATTTTCCTGGGCGCAGAACCCACAAGACAACCGATCCCAACCGGGTTGGGTCCCGCATTTTTTCTCACTGATCTCAGAATAAAAGCTGTGAGATGTACATTGAATGTTTCATTGATGGAAAAACATTTTCATTTGTTATAACAACAAATTTCGTTTGCTTTCAACTAAAGACTAATTTAATATTTTCAAAGAGAAATTCTCACAAAAGATACATCCCATATCCTCTTGGGTCACCCCAACGCTGCAACAAATGCGTTGCAACCGCCGCTTTTTTGTGGATGGTTGATCCGTCACTGGCCAGACAGGTCTGCCCGAAAAACCCAAGCAGGAAAATGATGACATAGACTCATAAGAAACGAACAAGCCTTAGTTGCTGGAATCTCAACAACAGAAAATAACACCGAGAATACAATGGATGTAAACGCAGTAAAACATTTGGTATACCCATTGTCGCCCCAAAAGGTGCTAAGCCCGATCAGTTTTCCCCCACGGTAAGCCACGTTAGATTTAATTTTGATCCGACTGAAACTTAATGTTGTCATTTTAGTTAATCCGTACCTCGTTGGCCATAAGTTTAATATGGGAATGCGGAATTACAAAAATGTCACTGCAAAAAGTAATTATTACATAGTCAGGTATGCCCCTTTTTGAAATCAAGAGAGAATACTGCCAAGATGTACCTGTCATTTCTCAAAAGTTTCTAAAAACTAGATAGTACTAATCATTAAACATTTCCCTAGTTGCTATGCATGAAAACGGCATAATGGACACTGTAAGTTGTTTCTATACTAAAATGGGCCCTTCACATTAACAAAACACCTCCTTTTTGCACAGTTCAGAAATGACATGGTGCATCGTCTACGATGCACTCCTGCAAAACATTTGTGACTGTACACGCACAAAACAACATAGACTAATTATCTTGCTTTTTCTTGTACAATTTGCCCGAAATATACACGCGCCAAACGGGAATCGAAACCATGCCGCAGAAACACCGATACGCCAACATAATTATAGACAACAAACTATTAATTTCCTTGATCAAAGCTTAGTATTGCAAAAAAAGGCATACATTTTCTATTACTAAAATACTTATCTATTGTAGTCGAAAGTTTATTATGTTTGCTTCTGTGACGTATTTAATTCGACTTCTTAGTAATTTATCTTTTCCT